AAGCCTTAGGTGATAACAACAAAACTAAATCCGCCTTTGTTAATTAGTAACTGCTACAACCAGCAGGCAGGCCTGATTCAGACTTCTTATCTGAGTTATGTAATAAACTGGCCTACTTCAACAACTAAACTTCTCCTGTATTAGTATCTTTAAATTCTGACCCAAAATGTGTTTAAGTCATGCTATGTATGTGCTTTACTTGAGGAGGTGTATGTGAGCCTCTTAGTTGCTTACCTATTTCCCCTAATATGCAGTCCTACGTGTTTTGAATGTCGCCTTAGTCTTTTTACCTTTAAAAAACCTAAAAGTCAGCCTAAATCCTCCCTCTTATAGGAAAATAGTCCTAAATTCCTCCGAGACTGATAGGAATGGGACGGGTAATAGCATGCAATAGAGGTCGAGACCAATCCGCGCTTTAATACCTTAACGGGGCGGGAAAGGTAGATATGGATATGATGACCGGTGCGCTAATACCACGTGTATCCCTTCTTCTAAGGGGTGTCATACCGGGTATCGCATTGATGTGATCCATATTATAAATAAACCTAGGACTCCTCTCTCTTTTTATATTTTCAAGTATTTGTAAAAAATGTAACTCAATTTCAAAATTCGCTGTTAATGATTGTTCTTTTAAACCCTTATGTGTTTAAACCTAAATCTCCTACTACTTGAGCCTATACTTGTCTATTTGCTAATTGTACAAATTCACAAAGCTATCTGGCCGAGAACCACACTAGTGGATCCTGAGGGGTGCCTAACACCTTCCCCTTAGGATAATTTCAAGCCCTTACCCTATCTCTGGTTATCAAACAAACTTAGAAATGAACTTTATATGTGTCCTAATGCACCTTAACTCATTAGGTGGCGACTCTTCAAATGCAAAACTCAGTTCCCAAAAGGAATGAGTTGTCCTACACCCAAAAATGTCATAAACCCGATTTTCTGATGCAAAGAGGGAAAAAGGGGGCACGACAATGGGCATGAGTTGCAAGTTCTTCAAATGTACTAGGCTTGATACCTTACAAGATGTAGCATAGTCCCCAATGCATGCCATGGATGCACGTCTCTAAGCCAGAAGATTCACAAAGCTTGTCTTTGTAGTTAAGGCTTGCATTTCTCCAATGATTGATAAAGTCGATAACTGATTCACCTTTCATTGACGAGTATTTGTAAGTTTTATTATAATGATAGTACACCTCGTGTTATAAAAGAGATTGAGGAACTCTTGCTCTAGTTGATCCCAGCTATCAATAGATCCAGCCTTGAGGTCTGTGTATCAATCAAAAGCATTTTCTTTTAGTGAGCGGATAAACTGCTTGACTAGGTAATCTCCATAAGTTCCAGTGTTGTTGCATGCTCAACGAAGTGCGCCACATATTGCTTTGGATTGCCTTTGCCATCAAATTGTTGAAATTTTGGAGGTTGATATGAGCAGGCATCTTCAACATATCGATCCTTGAAGTGTACGACTTTGTGTAGGTTAGGGCGGACTTAGAAGTAACTTAATACTTATTTTTGATCGTCCCTTCCATGAACTCCATTAGTTGATCGATTGGAATCATCCCTTCAAATGAGACAGGGATAGCCTTAACGGATGCTACTTGTCTTGGGGGAGGATTACTCTCTAGAACTTCTGGGAGCTTTCCAGGTACATGGGTGGATTCTTCTTCCATAAAGATTCCCACCTTGTTTGTTTGCTTGTCAATTCTAGCATCTTGATTTTGCATGCACTTGGTCGAGCTAGCAATTGCTTCCGTCAAGTATGCCAATTGCTCCTCCACAAATGAAGCATTTATTACCATGGCTTGCATGATTGTTGTGGACGATGAAGAGTAGTATGGATATTTACACAGATTGATCTTCGATTCGCTCACGCTATGCGGTGTAAGTGGGGAGGATTCACCACTTGAAATATCATCATCTTCCTTCACAGTCTAGTTCTTGGATCCGAAGAGGTTAAACAGAGCTAGAATTTTCTTAATTTTTGCAGCAACATTGATTCCTCTTGCAGGTGCGTTTGTAGAAGATCTTGCTCCTTTTATGGATGAAGATCCAAAATAGGGGTTGATGCGGACGTCACTTGGGGTAGTTGTTGTCCTAATGAGATTGCTTTGCTCCTCGTAACTAGTCCAAAGCTTCCAAAGCATCCACAGGTAACATCGAGGATGCTTTCTACATCAGCGTAGAACATGGAATTAGCAGCCTTGGTGGAAGTTGATCTGGAGTTGATTTTCTTTGAAGACATTTCGATGTTCTTGAAATTTGGTGATTGAAAAGTTGAGATGAGAGGTATAGATTGTCCCACTAGGCATGCCAAAATTTGTAGACAATAAATTTCTTCAAGAAAATAAAATCAAGACCGAAAAATATTGCAACAATTGTAGTATTTAATTTCAAATAATATGAGTATATAATCTCAATGAATCCTTTGATTCTTCTTTCCAATAGTAAATAAATTCCAGGGTCTTTGAGCTTGATCTTGAATCTATATTTGTTGCCACGAACAATGATCTTGAATTTAACTAGCACGAACTTTGATTTGCACTCGTACTCCTTGAATTTGATTTGTTTTTCGTTCTTGAGCTTGAACTTGATTTCTTGAACTTGGACTTGATTGCTTGAAGCTTGAAACTTGTAGAGAAATTTGCGGCGTTTGATCCGAGCTCTTTCTTGCTTCTCATTATGACTTATGGTGTCTTACTGAGTTATGAAGTCTCCTTATAGTTGTGGAAAAGAAGAGTTGTGATGAGAACAAACTCTTTCCGACCAATCAGATTAAAGAGTGACGAAGCCGCATTTGATTGGCAAGAAACATGTCACTTGCACATGTGGCGCGGTTTCATTGGTCTTTTAAATTGACTTGACGTGCCTTGTCATTTTGGCACGTGACAAGATACTATTGGCTCTTCCACTTGACTTGGCGTGGCACGTCATTTGACACGTGACACCAAATTGGGCCTCTAGGAAGATGACATCTTAGGCTTAATGAAGTGGGCTCATCACTCGTAGCTCAATCGAATGGGCTAGCCCAATATATTTAGACTCATTTATTTAACCCATATGTATTAGAGTTATATATTATTAATTCAATTATCTTTGCTCATAATATTTAGTTGGACTAATATATTAAAATACAATCTCTATTATTTTATCGATTTAAATTCGATAAATTTAAATGCTTACACTTACAACCGAGGAATTCTAATAAATTCACCTGGTATTTGGTTGGACTTGTGGACTGATTGCTTCTGATCGAATTTGTACCTATAGGATAACGATATTGCCAGGACAAATATATTCCTCATAGAACTATATAGCTTTTGGATATGGAAAATAGTAGCCTTATCAGGGAACAAATTATGTCTTTGAAGTCCGAAAGTTATTTCTTTGCTCAAAAGTCCCTTTGTTTTTTTCTTCTTAATCCAAGCTACTGTCACATAAATTGAAATGCAAGAAATATTACTTTTACTTTCTATTACTCACAACTATCGCCAAGTATGTACTCAGGGGCAGAGGAAGAGTATTAATTACAGATCCGAACAAACTCAGAGCTTTTATTTAGACTCTGTATTTGTATTAGAAAATTCATTAAATATATATAAATATTTAGTTATGAATTCAATAACTATAACTAGCTACGAATTCGACGTCAAGTTCAGAACTCATAAATTTTAAATTCTAGCTCCGCCTTTGTATGTGCCTATGCCCCAACCGGCAGTCCAATGGGAAAGGTTTAATATATATTCATCAAAATTATATATTAATCAACACCTAATTTAGTGAACTGAAGGTTAGCGAAACCACAAACCTCAAAGAAGCTAAATGGGAAAGGTTAACCAATTTATTTAATTTTCTTCTGTCAGCAGCTAGCCCTCATTTTCCTTAATGAAGGTAATTCAATATAGTATTGTTACATAACTAATTATAGGATTTCAAATGTACTCTCAAAGTGAACAGAAATAGAAAATTCCCATGATTTTACGAAAGAACTTTTGACATTTGGCTACGAGTTAAAGATTTATAAAGAAAACGGAATAATAACATTGGAGGTTTTTCCGGACCTTATCACAAGAGGTAAATGCAAATTACATAAAATACTGTAGTGTTTCAATTTCCGGCGAGCCAATACCTACTAGTCGTTTTTGGTTTGATTTACAAATTAAAATCACGTGCCTACCAGCTACCAACTAATATTTGGGGGAAAACGTATCCGCCTCAATATGTTTTTTTGTTTCTCACTCGGTATTCGGTACCTGCATTGGAGTCCGACTATATCCGAATTTACGCCGCGTAGAATTTCATTCGAAGGGAAATGCTCCCTACCAAGAATTTTTTCCATACCCAGGGTTCGAACCCGAGACCTCTGATTAAGGGAAGAACAGTCTCATCCACTGTACCACATCCTTTGGTTGTCCCGCCTTAATATTTAAAGAAGTGAACAATAGAAAAAGTCAAGAGAATTGAATATCTAATATATATTTTTTATTTATTTGCAAAATATAATTTTTTTGCTAATGAGAAATAATTGACTCTCCTTAGACAAGAGTAGTTACGTCTCTATTTACATCAACCTAATGCAAGAGATATGCCATTCACAGACACAATTTATATCACTTTAACTATAGTGAACTGACAAGTATTTTAAATTTAATTTTTAACTATCAAAATCAAATTATTTAATTTAAACACTAAGGGATCATTTAGTTGGAAAATAAGTTATCTCAGAATTAATTATCCTGTGATTAGTTAGTCTGGGATTGTTATCTCACCCTTCCACAGGGATAAAATAACACTATAATCCGGGATTACTAATTTCAGGATTTTGTTATACCGCGATTTTATCCTAACCAAACGTAGAATAAACTCATCTCAAATTTATTCCCGTGATTAATTATTCCTTATTCCTTGTATCAAACAAGCCCTAAGTGCTCTAATTATTTATTCCAATACTAGTAGTGCCAATGTTTTACCCTACTCGCACTGCAAGCTGTATTCTAAGCCATAGGCATAAATAGAGCACATATCTGTGAATTTGCTGAAATAAAAAAACGTCTTCTTCTTACTTCTATATCTTTTATTTTTCTTTCACAAATGGCCACTATTCATGCCCCAAATTCTCCTCCAGGGCCAACAGTTTGTGTGACAGGAGCAGCTGGATTTATTGGGTCTTGGCTTGTTATGAAACTCCTTCAACGTGACTATAATGTTCACGCTGCTGTTCGTGATCCTGGTAATGTTATTGGCTCCATTTGTTATGAACAATTACTTACAATCATCTCGAGATCTCGATTATAAAATAATGGTGTAATTCTTTCTGAATTTTCTGTAGATAGAAGTTAAACTATTAAAAGGCTTCATTATATTAACTGATCATAGTTTGTATCGAATTACTATTCTTATTATATACTTCCTCCAATCCGGTTGATGTTACATACTTTTCTTTTTAATATGTTCGGAAAAAATGACACACTTCTAAATTTGAAAACAATTAACTTTACACTTCTCATTTAATCTTTATAACCACATACAAGTTATAGTATAATTAAGGCCAAAATTTTTAAAGATACACAAATACAATAACATACATGTTCTAAACCATAAGTTTTAGTTTTTCTTAAATTTCTTACCGATTCAAACCATATCATCATATAAATGACATGAGTTGTTTTGGCATGGTAGAGAACAAGAACAAAGTGAAACATCTTCTGGAGTTGCCAAAAGCTGATAGCAACCTGACGCTGTGGATAGCGGAGTTGACAGAAGAAGGAAGCTTTGATGAAGCCATTCATGGCTGCCAAGGAGTATTTCATGTGGCCACCCCTATGGATTTTGATTCTAAGGACCCCGAGGTGCGTAGTATCTAAATACAGAGGTAGAGTCAGGATTTTTTTCTAAAAACTTCAAAATCTAAAAAAAATAACATACGACAAAGCCAATGGGCCCGAATTGACTATTTATTAAATATATACATAAAAATAATTTCACCCATAAATACGATGTAATTTTTTGACTAAGGGTTTGGATGAACCCCTCGTGCACTCTCTAGCTCCGCCTTTGTCTAAATATTCGGAACAAAAAACACAAAGAACCATATAACTTANCACAATGTTGAATTTCGATAAGTTCGTTTGCATCTTTTTCGTCCTATATACAGTCCATACAACTAGCTCTTTGATATGGAATTTATTATGTCTGACTAAGATTTATGCCTTCATCATCTTCGATTGATTTGTTGAAAAAGGCTTAGATATCTTTTGAGTCAAACAATTTGGCGTTATCTATGGGGATTTCTTAGTAAAATTTCCTAGTCTCTCCTAGATCAAAGACAAGAAAAACGATTACCCACCGAAAAGAGCGCTAAGGCAAAACCAACCCACGCGGGACAAAGGCACAACACAGAAGAGGAAGGAGAGCCAAGTAGAGTCACTGAATTTAGAAATTCTCGCCCCATCAACCATCGAAATGCCAAACAGAACAAACAACGTTACAAACCTTCTCTCCTTCACCGGACCACCGGAGGGGGGTAAGGAAAATATCATTTTAGCTCACCTTCTGCTCTTTGCTCAAGTAGGAACACAAATACCGCGCGGGCGAGCGAGCAAAGAAACATCTCAATTAAATAACGACAAAAGACCACAAAACAACCGAAATACCGCCCGCCGGTGACATCTCCAAGCCGAAAGGCAGGAGTCAGACAAGGAAACTACGATGTGTGCACAGAATGAGCCTAAGCGAAACATCGATGTTTCGTACTCTCCGACGTTGCACCCTCTGATGCAAACAATGTCAAACGAACTGGGACTCCCCCGAAGGATGTTTGATTCTCCAAAAACCGGAATGATGATGGGTTACTATTTCGATAAGTTTGAAATAGCACCCTTTAAGGCCAAGGGCCTTCGCCAAAAAGAAGAGTTCGACCTCGATCGAACGATGATGAGTTACTATTTTGATAATTTCAAAATAATGCCCTTTAAGGCCAAGGGCCTTCGCCAAAAAGAAGAGTTCGACCTC